TAAGATGGGTAATCTGGTGAATGCATCAGAAGATGCGGCTGAGGATGAAAAGGAGAAGAAACAGTCTACAGTGCCCACTGGTGGAGCTTTTTATATGCACGATGATAGATTTCAGGAAATTTCTGGTTCTGGTGGCCGAAGCAGGTTCTCTCTTCTTTACTGTGTTTGCATCTGCACCATTCTCTGTAATATGGAGTTAGGGTTTGAATAGCTGCATTTGGGTTTGCTTTGCTAGATTTTGCCCTAGTTCATGCTACTGTCAACAGGGGAAAAAGTTTCTGACTACTAATTTAGTTCTTACTGTCAAGCTTATGTCTTTAGATTCAGGGTCATGTAGATTGATATCATATAATCCTTGATTTCGTAGGGGAAGGCGTGGTGGAAGACCTTGGGGATCTGGAGATGAAAGAAAATGGGGACATGACAAATTTGAGGAGTTGAATACTCAGGAAAAGCATTACGATGTAGAGCTTCTGTCTCTAATTTGTTTTTTAAGTTATTTTAGATCCCTCTCTCTCTTAATCTATATAGTATGTATATGTGACTGATTGCATTCTGTAAATTCAGCAGCGGGGTTCTAGAGGCCGATTCAGAGGTCGTGGTACTGGCCGGGGTAGGGGACAAGAGCGTGGATACACTAGAGGGGGCAGTTCTAACGCATCAACCAGCAGGGGACAGCAAGTTTATCGTCCTAAAGCTGTCACTCAAGGGAGAGGGCCCAGAAAATATGATACTCCCCTTACTAATGTCAATCAAGCACATTCCGTGCAAAGCAAACAGTGAGTTCTTCAATTTTGTTCTCTACTTGAGTGAAAGTTTTATCTCTAATCTAATGTATTTGTGTACCGAATTTGTAGGTTACGAAATCCTCATGGATCACAAAACTCTCATGAGAAAGTGTCACACCTTGATTCACGGCGTTCAACAACTGTCCCTACTAAAACTGGGAATGAAGTTGTCTATGTCAAAAAGAATGTAGTTGCTTCTAGTCTAAGTTCTGCTTCTCGTCCATTTTATCCTTCAGAGTCCTCCAGTAACTTGGTACATGGTATACAAGTTGGTATGGAAAAACTCCACACAAATGAACGTGCTGCGCCTTCTGGGCAGAAGTATAGAAATACAAAACCCGTATATTCACCAGTTACTACCGCCCAGACTTTTCAGTCCGCGAGTCAAGGTAGAAGTGCACCTGCTGCTGGGAATGTGTTTTACCCGCAATCTCATAACCATGGTGACAGATTTTCATCACCAATGCAAGTCAATGGAGGTTCAAAAGGCACTGGTCAAAGCCGTATTAGACCTTCTGGTCAGGGTTTTGATCAGCACTCTGCTGTTGTCAAATCATTGTCTTCCTCTCCCCAGAAAACTAGCTCAGCGAGAAATCGGTATCCTCCTGGTGAAATAGAATCTGTAGCCGAAACAGGTGCATCAATTGCTAAGGGAAAAGGGAATCTCCATCCTAGTGGAAGCGGCTCTTTTATGTATAGTGGATCTCAAGTCATGGGGCTAGCAGAAAGTCTGGCATCTGGTGACAAATCGAATTTCCCAGCTTATCTGCCTGGTAAGTTTTTTGGATGATACTTTTCTCTCTGCATTTTAAAAACTCAGAATCAAATTGTTCATGGTTGTTGAAATTGAAAGCTCTTGATGCCGAGTCACTCGGCATGGTTATCCGTTAATAGTTGTCAGAGTCTTGTCGTACCAACGTCGGGATAATCTGCTTACTATTAATTTTCACGATTAAATTCAAATGCAGTTATGCAATTCGGTGGTCAGCATGGTGGGGTTCCGACTATTGGAATGGCTATTCCAGGATATTACCAGTCTGAAAATGGTGTTGGGAATCCGGAGATGACATGGTATGCTAACCTGTGAAGACGTAATTTCATTTGAATGATTACTTTCATTTTAAATATTGTGCCGTTCGTATGCTCTGGGCTCTCCATCTATATCTAGTTCCTCATTCTGCTTTTTCGCCTGCTTGTGCTGATATTTGTTTATATGATTGGCAGGATGCCAGTTTTGACTGGTCCAGGAGCTTTAGGGGCTTCATACAGTCCACCATATGCTGCTATTGATGGCTCTTACCAAGCATGCAAGCCAGGGTTACCTTCATCTGCGGGATCCTCCAGGTTAAGAGAGTAAAATATTGTAGAGCTAACACAAAACCATGTGTTATTTTAATAACCATTCCTTTTCTCTTATTTAAAACATACTGTATATGCTTGGCACATATTATATATTTACATTTGCAAAGCATGCATTTTTGGCTTGCTTAATCCAGTTACCATTTTTGCAGCAGAGAGAATAGTACCAACAACCTTAATGACCTGGAGAAACTAATGGAGAGGCCTGGTTAGTCATTTTGCAATACCTGCTCATTCTTCTAATGGTTACACATCACGTGTTTGCGTATAGTATTACAGTTACTAGGGGATAAATTTGCAGTTATTGGATCTTTTCCTGCATTAAGAGAAAGAAATTACAATGAAAGATTATGTGACTGGATTTGATGGATGACTAGTACAAATAAATTTATATGATGAATATTGTTTCAACATGCCAAATTGCCAATGAAGGATAGATTATGCTGCTAAAATGAAGATTGATTGTTGGGATCATTCTGTTAGAAGTTAAGCTATTTTGTTTCTATGTAGAGGTTACAGAGAGTGGGGTTTCACAACGGCAGAACAACAACCCAAGCAAGCAACCTCGTAGGTGAGTTTTTGAAGTTAACTCGGACCTACTCTAAAAAATTGTTCACTGGTTGATATGAACCATTTAGGATTAGGGACCATGATGCATTGTGTCTACGGATTTGACTTGCAGTAACTGCATTCATGGTCCTACAATCGAATATCTATATATAGGATTCATGTAGAGTAAGCTTTGGATCATGAAAAAAATAGTTGCTTAAGTCGTCAATTAATGTATATGCAGGTACTCGGAGATGAGCTTTAGCAAGTGATTACATTTGTAGAACCTAAGAAGAGGGCTTAGGGACTCCTTGGCGCGGGGATCTGGTGCTTCTCCAAGCTTCGTTACAAAGAACTTTAGGCTGCAATTGTTCCTGAATTTCTTAGGTAAGTGAATCAAAAGTGTATCATAATTATGGGGGATAGTAATAGAGTGGTAGGAAATGGATGTTGGAGTGTGCCTGTTGTTGTTGCAGTTTTGTAAGTGAGGGAAAGAATAAAAGACAATATTATGACTAG